TTCTTGAGACATTGATCTACATTTTGGAGGGTCAATTTTTGGTTTGGAGCTTTGAAGGTTTTGATTTTGTGCCCAAAATAATAGCTTATTTTTGTGGTTGTCTTTCCTTGTGGTTCCATTTCTTCATTGGTTTGTGGCTGGTTATTCCTCTTATTTGGTGTTGTTTTTGTGCTTTTTTAGAAGATGATATTTTGTGTACTCTCTGATTATAGTGGAGTTATTTTTAGTCGATTCGAGGTCCCATGATTTTTACCCATTTTTGTGGTTTTCCACATAAAAATATTGTGTCTCTTATGGTGGTTGGTTTGCCTTAGCCATAATTATTGTTTTGCATATTTTAGTTATTGCCATTATTTTACTTATACTTGATTTACTTTGCTCCTAACAATTTTAGATAGATGGGGGGGGGGGATTTTATTTTTTTTATTTTTATTTATTTATTTTGTTTTCGTTGTGCTTAGGTGACACCTTGTTCTTTCCAATAGATTAGTATCATAGCTTTTGGTTTGTTATTTTTCAAATATCTATTTGAATTATAGCGGCTAATACAAGTAAAATGATCTACTTGAATGGTGTAAATTATTAGAAATGGAGAGTTAAATGAAAAATCTTTTATTTGTGAAAAAAATGCATTTGCTAGTGTTCAAGACTCTAAAACCAGATTCTATGACTAATGAAGAGTGAACTTTTAATCACTAGCAGAGTTGTGGCTATATAAGGCAATGGCTGGAACACAACGTCTTGAATCACATTACTAATGAGACACATGCTTGAACTTTGTGGGAAAAGCTCGAGACGCTTATGCTTTAAACATTGGCAATAACAAATTGTTCCAACTAAAGCGATTGATAAATTTGAACTACAAAGAAGGAAGTCCTATTTCAGATCATGTTAGTGATTTTTAGGGCATTCTTAATTACTTGTCTAATATGGGTGTCAAGTTTGATGATGAGATTCAGGACATTGCTTAATACTTTGCCTAATTCATGGGAGACTTTTCAGGTTTCATGGACTTATGCTACTCCCAATAGTGTTATGACCATGGAATATGTTGAAATTGATGTCTTGAATGAGTAGGTGAGAAGAATTGATCAGGCTGCATCTCTTTCAACCTTATAATCAGATGTTCTAGTCATTGAAGATAGGGGGAGAAGCAAAACTAAGGGTCAAGAAGGTAGAGATAAAAGTAGAAGCAAGTCAAGGTTAAAGTACAAAGATCTTGAATGCCACCACTATGGTAAAAAGGGACATATCAAGAAACATTGTTTTTATCTTAAAAAGGAGATGAGGCAAGAGAAGAAGAAAGAAGATGATAATGAGAATTGTGTTGCTACTACCATTAATAATGATCTTCTTTTTTGCTGGTGATGAAAATATCATCAATTTTGCATCCTATGAGACAAGTTGGATTGTGGATTCTGATGCTGCATACCATGTTACACCTAGGAAGGAATTTTTCACATTTTATACTTCTAGTCATTTTGGGGTATAGGACATGGGTAATCATGGCCAAAAAGGTGATTGGTATAGGAATAGTTTACTTGCAAACCAACAATAGCACAAAGTTGGTTCTTAAGGATGTCAAGCATGCACTTGATGTCCAACTCAATTTAATATTTGTAAGAAAGCTAGATGATGATGGTTAGTTTAGTTCTTTTAATGATGGAAAATGGAAACTGACTAAGGTTTTCCTTGTTGTGGCTCAAGATTTCAAGTCTTCCAACTTGTATTTGATGTAGGGTTCTATTTCTAGTGGCTCTGTTAATGTAGCTGGAAAAGATGAATCATCAAAGTTATGGCACAAGAAGTTTAGCCATATGAGTGTGAAAGGGATAAATTGTTTGGCTAAGAAGAATGTGTTGTTTAGATTAAAGAAAGCACAATTGGAAAAAATGTGTTCATTGCTTGGTTAGGAAATACCAAAGAGTTTCGTTTAAAAACCCTCCTCCTTTAGAAAAAGCCAGATTTGTTGAAACTTGTGCATTTTGATGTGTGTGGACCATTGAAGGTGAGGTCACATGGTGGTGCACTTTATTTTGTCAGCTTTATTGGTGATCATTCTAGGAAGCTTTGTGTTTATCCCTTGAAGACCAAAAATCAAGTTCTTGATGTATTTAAGCAATTTCAAGCCTTGGTTGAAAGATAAACAGGCAAGAAATTGAAGTGTATCTATACAAACACTTATGATGAATATTTTAGACCATTTGATAACAATTGTAGGGAGTAAGTTATTAGTCAACAAAGAACTCCTAAGACTCCTCAATTGAATGGCTTAGCCAAGAGGATGAACAAAACTTTGATGAAGAGTGTCAAATGTTTACTTGTTGAGGTTAAATTGCTTAGAACTTTTTGGACAGAAGTTCTTAATATAGTGGCACATGTTATCAATTGATCTCCCACAACTGCTTTGGATAATGATGTTCCTTATAGAGTTTGGTATGGCAAGGATGTTTCTTATGATCACTTGTTAATCTTTGGATATAAAGCATTTGTGCATGTCCCAAGGATGAGAGGTTAAAGCTGGATGCTAAAAACAAGCAATGTATCTTCATTAGTTTTGGTCAATATGAATTTTGGCTATTGGTTGTATGATCTAGTTGAAAAGAAACTAGTCAAAAATCGTGATGTAGTTTTCTTTGAGAACTAGACTATAAAAGATAGTGACAAGGCCAAGAAGATAAGTTTTCAAAGTGATGAGAGTTTGGTTGATTCTATGCCAGCTACTGAGACTATAGCACTAAATGTAGTTGAAAATCATCTTCAAAATGATGAAGTCCAAGATGACATTCATGATGGTGATTAGGTTCAGAATGATCATGTAGATGTAGATGATCTTAATGCTCCTTTAAATCAAGCAATGAATGATAAGCAGAATGCTCCTATAGAGGTCTTGGTAGATACACCCAGAAGATCTAGCATGGAAAGGAGACCCTTATCTCGTTATGCTCTTAGTGAGTATGTATTTGTTACTAATGGGGGAGAACCTAAAAATTATTGACAAGCCATGGAAAGTGAGTAGAAAATGGAGTGGCTTAAAGCCGTGAAATCTTTCTTGATAATCATACCTTTGAGTTGGTTAAGTTGCCAAAAGACAAGAAAGATTTAAAGAATCGATGGGTTTATAGGGTGAAATATGAAGATGGCACTTTAATTCCACAGTACAAAGGTAGACTTATTATTAAAGGCTTTAGTTAGAAAAACAAAAGGTGTTGATTGTAGTGAGATTTTTTTCTCTAGTTGTAAAAATGTCCTTAATTAGAGTTGCGTTGGGTTTGGAGGTTGAACAAATGGATGTCAAAACTGCTTTCTCTATGGTGATTTCGATAAGGAGATTTATATAGAACAACTAGAAGGATTCAAAGTCAAAGGGAAAAAGGATTTTGTGTGCAGATTGAAAAAGAGCTTGTCTGGCCTAAAATAAGCTCCTAGGCAATGGTACAAGAAGTTTGAATTTATTATAAGATAGCATGAATACAGAAAAACTTCTTCGCACCATTGTGTTTTTGTGAGGAAATTCTCTACTAAAAACTATTATTTTGTTGCTTTATGCTAATGACATGCTTATTGGTCAAAATGCTTCTAGGATCAAGAAGTTGAAGTAAAATTTAAGAAAGTCTTTCGCTATAAAAGACTTAAGACTAGCAAACAAATTCTTGGCATACAATCAGTCATGATAGGGCATCCAAGAAGTCATGGTTATCACAAGAAAAGTACTTCAAAGGTTTCAAATGGATAAGGCTAGGGTGGTCAGTACTCCTTTGGCTATGCATTTCAAATTGAGCAACAATAAGTTTCTTTCCAATAATAAAGAGAAGGAAGACATGCAGAGAGTTCCTTATGCATTTGTAGTGAGAAGTTTAATGTATGTAATGGTTTGCACAAGACTAACTATTGCTTATGCAGTGGGTCTAGTTAGTCATATTCTTTCTAATCTAAGGAAAGAACATTAGAGTGTAGCAAAGTGGGTTATTAGATATCTTTGGGGCATGCCTAGTTTGAGTCTCTGTTTTGGAGCAAGAAAGCCTATTCTTGTAAGGTATACTAATTCAAACATGGCTAGAAGTATTAATGTAAGGAAATCTACTTTAAACTATCTAATTACCTTTGTAGGAGGAGTTATGTCTTGGCAATCAAGGTTACAAAGATGTGTTGCACTTTCTACCACTAAAGTAGAGTTTATAACAACCATAAAAGCTTACAAGGAGTTGCTCTAGATGAAGAGATTTACTTGGGAACTTGGGTTTGGTTAAAAGAGGTATGTGGTTTATTGTTGATAGCTAGAGCGTTGTTCATGTAAGTAAGAACTCTACATTCCATGGTAGGTTGAAGCATATAGATGTTGGATACCATTGGATTAAAGATGTCCTGGATTCTAAGTTGCTTGAACTCCAGAAAATTCACATTGATGAGAATGGGTTAGACATGATGACTAAAGCTTTGCTAAGAGAAAAGTTTGAGGCATGTTGCTTGATCACTAGAATGGTGATCTCCTCCACAGAGTTAGGAGGGGAGAATTGTTGGGTCAGACCTATCCCTCTTATGAGGACAAATGGCCAAATACTTGTTAAACTAAGTCCACACTTGTTAAGCCCACTTGAAGCAATATTTTACAACCCTTTAAGATAAAGAAGTCTTATTTGGATAGTAGAAAGTGGAAAGCATGTGAGTGGAGCCAACAAGCAAAAAGGAAAAGAAAGCACAAGAGAATTTTGCATATTTAGTACTGTACACAGTTTTGCAACTTTATCCAATCCACAAAATTCACTATTGGATTAAACTGAAATTTTGTTTAGGTGTTCTTGAGACATTGATCTACATTTTGGATAGTCAATTTTTTGTTTGGCGCTTTATAGATTTTGATTTAGTGCCTAGAACAGGAGCTCATTTTTTGTGATTCTCTCTCTGTGGTCCCATTTTCTTTGTCAGTTTATAGTAGGGATGTCAATGGGGTCCCACGGGGTCAAGGAGCTCGTCCCCGTCCTTGTCCCCATCCCCGTCCCCATGAATCACAAGGACGGTGATCCCCGCGAGGATTTTTTATGGGGGCCAGATTTTGCCCCTCGTCCCCATTTGTTGTAGGGAATGAGGATCCTCGTGGGGATTCCCATTCCCCACCAATTAATATTAGATGGCTCCGGCAGCAGCAGCAGATGGCTTCAGCCACAACAGTAGAGCAGATGGCTTCGGTAGCAACAGAGGAGATGGGTTCGACAACAGGCTTTGGCAATAGTAACAGTAGAGCAAATGGATCCGACAACAACAGAGTATATGGCTTCAGCAGCAATAGAGCAGATGGATTCGGCAACAATTGAGTAGATGGCTTTAGCAGCAACAGAAGAGATGGATTTGGCAGCAAGCTTCGGCAACAACAACAGAGCAAATGGATTCGGCAATAGCAGAGTAGATGGCTTCAGCAGCAGCAGCAGAGGAGATGGATTCAACAGCAAGCTTTGGCAGCAGCAACAGTAGAGGAAACTAAGAAGGTGAGAGATGGGTGAGCCGTAGACAAACAGATTGAGAGTGAGATCGTGAGTGATGAGAATTAAAATAAATTAGGGTTAGGGTTAAATGTAGGAGAATGGGTTAGGTTGGGAGTTGGGTTGGGTTGGATAGTATTGGGTTAAGTTTAATTGTAATTGGATTTGGGTTTGGGTTAGGATTGGGGTTGGGGTTGGGATTGGGGTTGGGGTTTGAGTTTAAAGAATAAATGAATTTTAAAATAAAAACTTTTTTTTTTAGGGATGGGGATCCCCGCGGGCTGCATGGGGCAGGGAAAATTCCTCATGAAATTTTGCGGTGAGAAAATGATCCCCATCCCCGTCTCATGGGGAGGAATATTCCTCCCCGCCCCATCCTTGTGGCGAGGATCCTCATGGGGAATTGCCATCCCTAGTTTATAGCCTGTTATTCTTCTTGTTTGGTGCAATTTTTGTACCTGCTTAGAAGAGGATATTTTGTGTGCTTTCTTTGATTATAATGGGGCTATTTTCAGTGGATTGGACGTCTCGTGGTTTTTATCCATTTTTGGGGTTTTCCACTAAAAATATTGTCTCTTGAGGTGGTTGGTTTGCTTTAGCCATAATTATTATTTTGCATATTTTAGTTGTTACCATTATTTTACTTAGACTTGATTCAATTTGCTCCTAAGAGTATCAAATGGATTGGGGAAGATGTTGTGTTGGTTTTATTGTCATTGTGCTTAGGTAACACCTTGTTCTTCGTAACAATATACCTCTATCATTTTCTTTACCATACTAATTAATACCATGGGCAATGCCCAAGTTTGTGAAACCAAAAACAATAAAATAAAATGTTAATATTTAATAATTAATATATTAATAAAAAGTTAATAATTAGATAATAATTTCTTTTTATTATTAATTAATAGTAAAATGATACCATATCATTACTTAAAAAGAAAATATATCACCGAGTTTCAAGAAATAAAAAAAAAAAAAAAGAGTAGATGGGGGGATTAGGTTCTTTTTTCATTTATTTATTTGAGGTTCACAGTGGCTTGAAAAATGGAGTAATATGTAACGTTAGAAAGCAACAAAAAGTTAATAGAGTTAACAAAATTCCTAGTGATCTCAACATAGAACTCGGCTTTGTATTATGTCAAGGCATTCAACCTAACACCAATTGGTAGAAAGTAGATAGCCCACTTTGATACAAGCTCACACAAATCCTAAACCAAATCATTGTGGATTAATAGCATTGCTTTAACTAGATCAGAACATATTGTATTAGAGATCATATTTTCATCTATCATATAGACAAGAAAGAATAATCAGAGGTACGCCTCTAACCATTCAAGTAGTAAAACATTATAAATGATATTATGGGAATGTTAATGAGTGCAACTGTTATCCAAGGCATCACAACAACATGTCAAATCATTAACATCCAAAGTACTGATAGAAACAGTGGCAATAGTCCTTCACAAACTATCAGTACATGCCATGAATTCCAAATATCAACCATGTTTCACTGCAATCATACATAGGAGGAACTTCAGATTCTAAAATGCCAAAGGTGTACTCATAGAGCAATTGAAAGAAAAAGGAACATTAGTTGTCTTTAATATACATTAATAATGAAATTTTTCGTAAGAACCTCGTAAAGAGGATCAAATCACAAGATTACTGATCCTTTCTACCTTGTTTAGGAATTATGGGCAAAACCAACCAATTTACAGCAATAAAAGAACATAATGTGATAAATTATACCGGTTGAATAATGAAGTCTATGGTCAAGGCACGAGAAACTACTCGATTACTCTTTACTGGACCAAATATATTCCAAACGACCTACGACATTATCTTAATTTTGACTAAACTTTTTTATTTGAGTTAAAAATTAACATGCTAATTAAGAGCAAAGGCAAAGCAT